TTCCTGTGCTTCAGGCCAGGGCCGGCTCCAGGCACCAGGCACCCAAGCTGGTGCTTGGGGCGGCACCTGGAGGGGGGTGGCGCAGCGCTCTGGCCGCCGGGGAGAGAGCGGAGCCCCCGCTGGGGCTCCGGCCGGCCGCCCCCGCTCCGGCCGGCCACCCCCCCCCCCCTGCGGGGGGCCGGCCGGAGGCTTTTTTGCCTGGGGCGGCAAAAAAGCCAGAGCCGGCCCTGCTTCAGGCTGTGCAGCCAAGGAGCATTCATCCCTTTTGATGGACAGGGAATGGAAACAGAGTGAAACTAGGTGGCAGGCCAGAGATGACAGGGGAGCTTGGGCTAGAGCTAGGAATCAAAGCCAGACTTCCCAAGTCTCCCTCAGATAGCTGTATTAAGTTCCCAGCATTCAATCCTGTAAGAATAAACCCTCTAAATGACATCATTCTGCAGACAACACATTAGTCTTTCCATAGTCAACTCAGATTTATACAAATGGATTTCTGTAGCCCCACGAACTACATGCTGTCCTCAACTGGAATTAATTAGAAATTAGGGACTTAGAAAGTAAATTTAAAAAAAAACACACACAACCCTTTTAGAAAATGAAGCCCATCTCAGAGCATAAAGAGGCAAGATTTTTTTTTTTTTTTTTTAAACAGAAAGAAGAAGAAAGAAACATTTACCATGGACAGGTAGACATAGCTAGCATACAGCTCCAGGTTCATCAGGTGATTAATAGCAGCCTCACACTCAGCATAGAAGTTCTGACTCACCTGGGACTCCATTTCTAAATCTATCAGATCTAGCCTTAATTAACAACAACAAATATCAATAGACCGCACTGTGTTCAAACGCTGCTGGCACAAGCACACAGCCTAGAAACAGAATTCTTCTCTTAGCACAAGCTGATATAAATACTGCTCAGAGGAGGCTTTACTGTGATTTACAGATACTACTGCCCAATGAAAGTTCCCTTCCTCCCCAAGACACCAATCAGCATTGTAGGTTTGCAGAATTTGCACTGGTGAGTAGCTGACTCACCAACATGAACTCTTCTGTTGCCATTATACCCCCTTGAAAAAAAAGGAGGTTATATAGAGACTCCCAGAACAGCACATTCAGCCCATTTGCTGGTTCTTGATCAATCCCCTCAGTGGAAAGAAGGTGCAGAAAGAGAAGGTGATGCCATGATACCCAGTGAGTTCAAGCTCCACTGTTTCCCACACTGACCTTGTGAAAGTTGTCAGAGGTGTTTAATCACTAAAAGCATGGCCTGACATATCTGTAGCTGGAGTTACTTCTTGATGCATTCAAGAATCCCAGGGTCTGTTAGGACAGAAAGTGTAGCATGGACATTTCATGATAAATGCGGACTGTGACATAGAAACAATGAGAGGAATCAGCACAGATATGGTTCCCACCTCTGTCTGTCTTTCAGGTTCCACAGCCAATCTCACATACCCCAAACCCATGTGATTCATGCCAGTCAGTCAAGGACTTCTTCTACTTTCCATTCTTCTACCCCTTGAAACAAATGTGTATAAGGAAACAAATTTGATCCAAAATCCAGAGCAAGCACAGGCAGAAGCACAGAAAGAGAAAACACTAAAACAGTCACCTCCATATACAAGCAGCCCCATTACTGTAAGGTGGTTCAGGGAATTCCATGGAATTTTCTAACCTTGTGTATGCGGCTGCATATTTAATAGTTGGTATGAGGGTAATACTTTTATTCAGACTCTGTTCAGTAAAGGACCAATGTTTACTTTTCTTCAGACAAGCTATGCCTATCTAGTCTCAGGCATGAGTGAGTTATTTAAAAGTAATTTAGGCAGTGTTGTCCTGTTGCGTTCCAGGAAGTGAATTAGGTAGTGTTGTTTTAAGCTGGCAGAAATCTTCATCTCATCCTGTCTAGTGCTGGAGAATATGGGGTTCATATTCTTTATTCCCCTCTGAAAGGGAACAGCTTCTCACTTCCTGCTGGACTTGCTCCTTGGGGCGATATCTGCCACAACAGAGGCTGGGTGGGCAGTGGGAGCAAATGTCCAAGCACAGGCTGATGGGAAACCTCCCTGGAGCTCCCATCCACTTTATTTATACATGACGTAAACCTATCATGGCAGAAACATAGATGTGATATACAAAAGCAACGTAGCAGTTTAAATGCAGATTATTTATCTCACTGTCTTTTCTTGGTCTGCTGGGCTCTAGAGCAGCGTTTCCCAAACTTGGGCCACTGTTTGTGTAGGGAAAGCCCCTGGCGGGCTGAGACGGTTTGTTTACCTGCCGCATCCGCAGGTTTGGCCGATCGCAGCTCCCACTGGCCGTGGTTTGCTGCTCCAGGCCAATGGGAGCTTGTGGAAGCGGTGGCCAGTACGTCCTTCAGCCCGCGCCGCTTCCAGCAGCTCCCATTGGCCTGGAGCAGTGAACCGCGGCCAGTGGGAGCCGTGATTGGCCAAACCTGTGGACACGGCAGGTAAACAAACCGGCCCGGCCCACCAGGGGCTTTCCCTACACAAGCAGTGGCCCAAATTTGGGAAACACTGCTCTACAGAATCCAATGTGAAGCTTTGCAGAAAGAATGAAGAGAATCATCCAGAGAGTGGGTAAGCAAAAGTAGATGGGAACCTGGGAGGCAGTGACCATGAGATGGTCAAGTTCAGGATCCAGACACAAGGAATAAAGGAGAGCAGCAGAATACGGACCCTGGACTTCAGAAAAGAAGACTGACTCTCTCAGGGAACTGATGGGCAGGATCCCCTTGGAGAATAACATGAGGGGGAAAGGAGTCCAGGAGAGCTGGCTGTATTTTAAAGAATCCTTATTGAGGTTGCAGGAAAAAACCATCCCAATGTGTAGAAAGAATAGTAAATATGGCAGGTGACCAGCTTGGTTTAACAGTGAAATCCTTGCTGATCTTAAACGCAAAAAAAAAAAAAAAACTCAAACAAAAAAAAAAACAAAAACAAAACAACAAGAAGAGGAAGATTGGACAAATGATCAGGGAGGAGTATAAAAATATTGCTCAGGCATGCAGGAGTGAAATCAGGAAGGCCAAATCACACTTGGAGTTGCAGCTAGCAAGAGATGTTCAGAGTAACAAGAAGGGTTTCTTCAGGTATGTTAGCAACAAGAAGAAGGTCGAGGAAAGTTTGTCCCCCTTACTGAATGAGGGAGCCAACCTAGTGACAGAGGATGTGGAAAAAGCTAATGTATTCAATGCTTTTTTTGCCTCTGTCTTCACAAACAAGGTCAGCTCCCAGACTGCTGCACTGGGCAGCACAGCATGGGAGGAGGTGACCTGCCCTCAGTGGAGAAAGAAGTGGTTCAGGACTATTTAGAAAAGCTGGACGAGCACAAGTCCGTGGGGCCGGATGCGCTGCATCCGAGGGTGCTAAAGGAGTTGGCGGATGTGGTTGCAGAGCCATTGGCCATTATCTTTGAAAACTCATGGCGATCGGGGGAGGTCCCGGATGACTGGAAAAAGGCTAATATAGTTCCCCGGATATTCCTTCTTCCCTTTTTTAAAGATGGGCACTACAGGCCAGTCAGCCTCACCTCAGTCCCTAGAAAAATCATGGAGCAGGTCCTCAAGGAATCAATTCTGAAGCACTTAGAGGAGAGGAAAGTGATCAGGAACAGTCAGCATGGATTCACCAAGGGCAAGTCGTGCCTGACTAACCTAATTGCCTTCTATGAGGAGATAACTGGGTCTGTGGATGAAGGGAAAGCAGTGGATGTGTTATTCCTTGACTTTAGCAAATACTGTCTCCCACAGTATTCTTGCCGGCAAGTTAAAGAAGTATGGGCTGGATGAATGGACTATAAGGTGGATAGAAAGCTGGCTAGATCGTTGGGCTCAACGGGTAGTGATCAATGGCTTCATGTCTAATTGGCAGCCAGTTTCAAGCGGAGTGCCCCAAGGGTCGGTCCTGGGGCCGGTTTTGTTCAATATCTTCATTAATGATCTGGAGGATGGCGTGGACTGCACTCTCAGCAAGTTTGCAGATGACACTAAACTGGGAGGAGTGGTAGATACGCTGGAGGGTGGGGATAGGATACAGAGGGACCTAGACAAATTAGAGGATTGGGCCAAAAGAAATCTGATGAGGTTCAACAAGGACACGTGCAGAGTCCTGCACTTAGGACGGAAGAATCCCATGCATTGCTACAGACTAGGGACTGAATGGCTAGGCAGCAGTTCTGCAGAAAAGGACCTAGGGGTTACAGTGGATGAAAAGCTGGATATGAGTCAACAGTGTGCCCTTCGTGCCAAAGCTAATGGCATTTTGGACTGTATAAGTAGGGGCATTGCCAGCAGATCGAGGGACGTGATCATCCCCCTCTATTCGACATTGGTGAGGCCTCATCTGGAGTACTGTGTCCAGTTTTGGGCCCCACACTACAAGAAGGATGTGGAAAAATTGGGAAGAGTCCAGCGGAGGGCAACAAAAATGATTAGGGGTCTGGAGCACATGACTTATGAGGAGAGGCTGAGGGAACTGGGATTGTTTAGTCTGCAGAAGAGAAGAATGGGGGGGGGATTTGATAGCTGCTTTCAGCTCCCTGAAAGGGGGTTCCAAAGAGGATGGATCTAGACTGTTCTGTGGTAGCAGATGACAGAACAAGGAGTAATGGTCTCAAGTTGCAGTGGAGGAGCTTTAGGTTGGATATTAGGAAAAACTTTTTCACTAGGAGGGTGGTGATGCACTGGAATGGGTTACCTAGGAAGGTGGTGGAATCTCCTTCCTTAGAGGTTTTTAAGGTCAGGCTTGACAAAGCCCTGGCTGGGATGATTTAGTTGGGGATTGGTCCTGCTTTGAGCAGGGGGTTGGACTAGATGACCTCCTGAGGTCCCTTCCAACTCTGATATTCTATGATTCTACGAAGACAGCAGATCATGTCAGAAAATAACATGGCTTTCAACCCAAGAAGCAGAATTCTGGAGAAGACAAGGACTCACCCCTCCCATACATGGCAGGGCATTCAATGAAGGAATTGCTCACATTAGTCCTGGACATACTCACAAGGGTCATTCTTCTCAGTAGGCAGCTTGTGGAGGTCCACTAAGGCCTCGTTCACAGCATTCTCCAGCTGCAGGGCGCACTGCAGAGCCTCCAGGCTGTTCCCCCACTCATCCCGCTCTGGCTTCTGTAATACCATCCAGGAAAGTGAATAAGGCCCTCGGTCATCTTAGATACTGCATATAGTTGCATGGAGGGGAGGAAGGGTTAGGACTGAGACTCATTTCTGCCAGTACTAGCCTCCCAATGTCTAGGAGTTTCCTAGGCTTCTGTTAATGCTGGTCAGGAGTGACAGATAGCAGTATTACTACTTGACCACCAACCCAAAGCCAACCATTCAGCACATCTGGACACATTTAAGTGGGGCTATTTATATTTTAAGTTCTCTTCTCCACAAAGACCTATTACTCTAAGGAGGTAAGGAAGTTAAGTGCCAAAACAATTATATATGAGCAATTAGACCTATCATAAGAGAAGGAAAATTCTGAGATATCTAGCCTACTCATTCCCTCCATGCATTGTCTTTTCCCAGTACACAAAGACAAGCCTTCCCTAAAAGTTGCAGTTGTTCTTTTTGTTTCTCACCCTGATATCCTGCAGGACAATGCATCCATCTCTCTTGTGCTGGTATGTCAGAAACATCTCTGCATGCTCGTTCTGCTCATGTGACTGCTCCTTAAGGAGCTTGGCCATGTGCCTCAGGGCCACATCATCACAGTCAACATAGTAGGACTGGGGGAAAACAGTGTAAACAATGTTTACTATCTTGGGTTGTAGAGAGAAAGCTTCTGCATGTTATTTACATAGGCCCCCTCCTAAATTAATAGCCCTTTGTATTAGGCACTATTTAGTAAGAGTGGTTGACAAGTAGACTGGGACCTTGTCTACTCAGAGACAAAGTTAGCATGAAGGATACAGACGCAGGAGTTTAAAGCACAATAGCTGTTCTGCACTGACTCCCTGCCTGGACTCACTCACTTCACATTACGTTTATTTAAGTGCTCATGCAGATAGGCCCATAGTTTGTAGCAAGCTGGGGTGTAAGTCTACCCCACACTAGTATGCCCCACCTCACGTGTGGGCGGTCGTTGCTGCTAGAAACTAGACATTCCCTACTGCACTTTAAATCTACACCCACATTAAATAGACCTTCCCCCAAACTAAGTGCTTATTTAGACAAGCAGTGTTTGCTTAATATACTTTGTACTAAAATAATAGTGTACACACAGAGAGCAAGTGCAAAGTATCTCATGTACATGAACTAGTTCAAGCTTCCCTCCACCCCCATGTAGAGCAGCCCTTTGATTTGTTACCCCTTTTGCAATCTGGGTTTAGGTTTTTAAGTTAAGTGCCGCTCTTGATTAGGCCTCCACTATCCCCCTGGAGTCACTTGTAGGTGCCTACAGGAACAGCTTAGCAATCTTCTACTGTTTTCAAAATGGCTAGGTCAATGGCACTTCATTGACTAGTTGAGTTACATCATGACAGGATTCAAACTCTGACCGAGACTAAGTCAGCTCCCACCCCACCTCCCCTTAGAGATTTCACGGTCTCTCCAGTTACTTAGTCACACCAGCTACTGCATAGCCCTAGTTAGTGTTTTGTGCTTCATGTAATACCCATTTCTGTATGATGCACACTAACAGCCACTCACTCCCATCTAGCCTCGCCATAAGCTGACCTACCATCTGAGCCTTGTAGTAGTTGGACAGGACTTTCTGCTATGAGAGCAAAGGGAAAGTTAGAGCCTTCAGGCATAAACTTGGGCTAAAGGATGGCACAGTTTGTCATGAGAGAGGTCAGCATCTTTATGCAATTCCTGAGGGGACACTTCACCCACGAGCATAGGATGTCTGAGGAATATCCATAGGCAATGTACTCCTGTACCATCCCCTCCTCACCTGACCGTCTGCTCTCAGTTTACTATGTTCGTTCCATACTAGCCAATGATTTGTCAGCAAGATGTCTGTGGCCTCCTTCATCCCCACCCCAGTTCAACAGCACAATACAGACTTTAATAGGTTAGTCAATTTTATTCTCAGCACTTAGATGGTCATTGATACAGCTTCTCTCCTCTGGAAAAAAGCCATAAGTGTTAAATGGGTAGTTCAGCTGCTCTCCCCCAGGGTGAGCTTGTCAAACAGGTACTCTCCCATGCCATTCTGGGGCACTCCCAGGTGCTTCAGGTTGGTGAGGTGGTCTCCCAGCTGCTTGATGGCCTTCACTTGCTCCTCCAGGTAGTTAGACTCCAGGAAGTCACATAGCTGCAGAAGCAGATAGGAGGTTTAGGTATTAGACTTACTTCTGCTCTCCAATATTCAATACTGTGGATGTAGTGAGCCAGTGGTGCACATACATAGTTACACAAAGAGCAGCTTTCACTGCTGGTTAGCGTGAAGCCTCCAGTGCTATGCAGTTTTGAACAGACCTCCCTGAAGACTGTTTAGATTCTGGGAGTATGTATTTGCTTCACAGGTTTCAGGGGGCATGAACCTTATCTTTATGCACTTCATTTGAGCAGACGTGATTACTCATCAGGTGCATAGCATGGAAGCTAAAGTGATTGAACAGAGCTACAGTTACCAGCATGACAATATCTCTAGTAAAAGAGGCTACTCCGTCATTTGTGCACAGATTAGGAGACAGGACATTAGACAGAGATTCAGTAGCACATTCCATTTATAACATCAATAAACCAACATGAAGAGCAGATATGTATGCTGTTTCCAGACATGCTTCACTAGAGTACTGCTACCTGGATTGAAAGCCAAGGACTCGCTCTCCCACACTGGGCAGCACATCCAAAACAGGGGATAGTGCATATTCTAGTCCTGGCCATACTCACACGGGGGGGAGGGGGGTCGTTCTTCTCCATAGCCAGCTTGTGCACGTCCAGTAGGGCCTGGTACACAGTCTTCTCCAGCTGCAGGGCCTCAAGACGGTTCCCCCACTCATCGGGGGGGGGATAGCTTAGTGGTTTGAGAATTGGCCTGCTAAACCCAGGGTTGTGAGGGGGCCATTTAGGGAACTGGGGTAAAAATCTGTCTGGGGCTAGGTGCTGCTTTGAGCAAGGGGATGGACTAGATGACCTCCTGAGGTCCCTTCCATCCCTGAAATTCTATGATTCTACTCTAGCTTCTGTAATACCAGCCAGAATGGCATAATAGATCCCCAACATTCTTAGAAGAAAAACTTACAAGTGGGAAAAGATTAGGATGAGAACTGGGCAAGAAACATTTTTCCCATCTCTCTAAACTTTCCCGTTCTGCACTGGGATGAAACTGTGACCATCTGAAATTTCATAAAACCAAAAGGGAGAGACCCAACCCAGAATAGCCTGTAGCCTGGCGGTTAAGGCACTTATCTGGGATGGGGAGGACTCGACTCTGCCCAATTTCTAGGGCAATAGACACCAAGATAATAGCTATTCTAAGTTGTGCTTGGTCTTTTGCTAGAAAGACCATTCTAACAAGTGTTTTGTTAAAACTCATACTTTGAAAGGGAAATGCTTAATCACTTTTCAATGAAAGCCCATTTTGAACAAACACAATGTAATGTAGCAAAGTAAAAATCACACATTTTCTTTGGTCATACCTGCCAGTACTAATCTCTCAAGGCTTAAGTGTTTTCTAGTGAACATGCATCATCCACTAATAGTGATCAATAGCACTGCTATACTACTTCACCACTAACCCCAACCCTACCATTCACAGCTCAGACATTTAAGTAGAGCAGTTAGGAATTTAAATCCTGTGCTCCAGAAACAGTTTTACTCCTATGGCACTAAATATTAAGGTCACGTTAGGTCCTTAGACTTCCAGTTTGACTTACTTATGTAGCAAAGCTCTATGGGAAATTCCTCTTAAGATTCCCATCTCTACAGCCCCCTCATATTTTCTCTTCACATAGCTAGAGAAGAGAAACCCTATTAGACTCCATTCCACTGACCTCCCACCACATGTGGTTAGGGACTTAGTTGCTCACCTTGATGTCCTGTAGGACAACATGCCCCCCTTGCTTGTTTTGGTAAGTCAGAAACTTTCTCTACATGCTCCCTCTCCTCATAGGGCTGCTCCTTCATGAATGGGGTCACATGCCGCAGGGCCACATCATCACAGTCAAAGTAGTAGGACTGGGGAGATAGGGAAAGCAGTGGTGACGATTTAGGATATTTGGATTGTGGTAGCACCAGGAGGCCCCAGCTGAGATTATGGGCTTCATTATGGTATATAAAAACACCTTCCTGCCTCAGAGAGTTTGATGGGCAGCTGCCCAAGACCTTACATGTAAAATGTTACTCCTATGTTGGAAGTAAGGAACTGAGGCACAATGAGTTTAAGGACAGAGTTTTCTGAAATACGTTTGTGTCTCTGGCACTTGAGTCCCAGAAATGGTTAGCAGTAGGATTTGCATGTTTCAGAAGATTTGCCTTAAAATGTCCCTCTTAAGTATCACCAACTTCCTGTGTTGGAGAACAGGAACTGAACTCACTTGGATTAATGCATTGCACTGGTACTTGAGCTCAGTGATATCTTTAATCTAGGTCACCCTTCAAATAGCAATAGAGCTATTACTGCCTCTGACACCTAAACATCCCTTTCCCCATTTCAGGCCTCTAATAACTTCAAGTTTCCTATTAGCTCTACACTAGAAGTTGTAGAGTCACAAAAAACTCATCTTTACAAGTGTATGTAACACTCTAGTTTCCAAGGACATTCTACACAACGAGAATTTCTCATTGATGGCTTTAAAACCTCAATAGCCTTAGATTGCTGCAAATGCCTGAGATTTAACATACAATATTCCTGTGAAATATGATAATGGGGGCAAAACGAGACAAATAGGCGGCTATCCCAATACAGTTTAATGATTTAGTTCTGTAATTGATTTAGTGTATGACACCTATGTGCTTATAGGCAGGAAAACGCAAGCCTGTCTTATGGCTATTTCCATAAGAAACTGTACCTGAAGCCTTAATGATGCATCATCTCAGTATGTTTTGATACTTGGCTCTTGTGTGGCAAGGATGAGACCACGTTTCCCTCTTGTCCAAGCTGGGTAGACTTTTTTTTTTAAAAAACGCAAAACACACCACACACACACACCCCCCACATGCAACTGTGACAAAAACTTGTAGGGTTTTCAGAGTCATACTCCATGAGTCTTCCTAGATATTCCCTGTTCATGAGCAGCATCCTACTACTAGAAGTAGACTAGAGCAACAAATAAAAGTAGAAACCAAGTTGCTGGACAAATAGCAAGTTTTATTTTGAGGATATGCAGATATTGCAACTCACAAGCAGCTGTAAGAGACAACAGATCAGGACTGCACTCTAGACAGCTTCAGAGTTTGGAGCTCAGCTGTTCTCCCCCAGGGTGTGCTTGTCAAACAGGTACTCTCCCATGCCGTTCTGGGGTACTTCCAGGCGCTTCAGGTTGGTGACATGGTCTCCCAGCTGCTTGATGGCCTTCACCTGCTCCTCCAGGTAGTCAGACTCCAGGAAGTCACAGAGCTGTGGGAAACAGGGAGGGCTAGGATGGACTTATGCCTGCTCAGACATACAGCACTGCATTGTTTTATGGAGTTGCCAGCTAAGCACCAAGCTGCAATGCCAGCCAGGTAGTGACAGCTAATTGCAGTCAAACTCTCAGTCCCCAGATGCTCTTCTCATGCAAGTCCCTGAAAGTCTGGGAGGGAGGGTCAAGAGAGCATTCTATAGCCATTTAGCTCCCACTTACTGAGACAAGAAACTAGTAGGCATTCATGCTACAGTGATGGCTCATTCAAATACCTGGATAGATTATAGTAGCTTGATCATACCATAGAAGGGGAGAAACATTGGTCTATGACTTCCCCCCACCACATCCTAGGTCTCTTGTAGAGCTATTTGCCATACAAGACAGCTTTGTCACCCTTCCCTTCATGTGTAGCTATAGGGACCAGTCATTTCATGACTTAATCGATCTTGTGACCCTGCCATCCCAAAACATTGTCTGGTTCATTCTTTTACAGTAGGTTGGGACAGTTGCTTTCTATTTGCTTATTTGTATCCATAAGAACCAGAGGGAGACCTTCTATCCATGGGTATGTCAGACCAATTCACTTTTGATGCCCTGACCACAGAAGTCAGACACTCCCTAGTTTTAGAGAGTTCTGGGGTCTGCAGAAGCCAGCTAATAAGGCTTCTAGACCATGTTCAATATAGTATTCAAACCACAGCCACTCATGAACAGCTATTCACATCTCCTCCTCCACTCACATGGGGGTCATTCTTCTCTGTAGCCAGCTTGTGCAGGTCCAGCAGAGCCTGGTTCAGAGTCTTCTCCAGCTGCAGGGCGCACTGCAGGGCCTCCAGACTGTTCCCCCACTCATCCCGCTCGGGCTTCTGCGCAAGAAAGTAAGAGTTAGTCTGGTCCTGCCTCTCAACAATTCCAGTCTCATTTATCCAAAATGAGTTTGTCTTATGCTGGGGGATAGAAAGGAATTTGGATAATGCACAGGTTCAGATAAAAGAGCAGAGACCCCTACCCAGGACTGCGAGGAGGCTGACTAGTCCCCAGCTGCATGCAAGGCCACCCTGCTGCTGAATGGCTCCTGCCCCCTCCATTATCTGAGCTCCCAATTATCCAAATAGTCCTCCATGCTATTGGATAATCCACATATAGCCAAAGTCTCCATTCACTGGCACACGTGTTGTATTAAAAAAGAGGTTTCCCCTCCCCACCCTCATTGTTTTATCTATAAAGTGTAGCTAAACACTGGAGAAGGGGAAGAGAGTGTGGGGGAGCAGGATAGGGAAGAAGATGGACAAAGTTTGTGAATTCTAATAATGCCTGCTAGAGTGTTCACAGAAATCTCTATTACTAGGGGTGGTGTAGACCACAGAGTATAATTCTAGCCCTAGCCTTCAAACAGTTTAACAGATGTGGACAAGAGATACAGATCTTCTGCTCCTGATCCATAGGCCTCAGAGAGGACACCCTCAATGGATGATATGATAATACATAACTTTTATGCAGTACTTAGCAGATCTTAAAGCACATACAAGGAAGTCAATATCATTATCCCCATTTCACAGATGGGGAAATTGAGGCACAAAAAGATTAAGCAACTTGCTCAAGGCCGCCCACCCTGGGAGTAACAAAACCAAGAATAGAATCCAGGTCGCCTGAGTCCCATTCCAGTGCTCCATTCATAAGCCCTACATTTTATTCTTGCAGGCCAGTGCGTCATGCTTATGACATGGAAAAGTTACTTGACTCCTAGAGAATTTAGGGCAGCAGTGGGATCCCTCAGAATCTCCCCTTAGATTTGTATCTCACCTTGATGTCCTGTAGGACAACACGCCCCCCTCGCTTGTTCTGGTAGATCAGAAACTTCTCTGCATGCTCCCGCTCCTCATGGGACTGCTCCTTCAAGAACTGAGCCATGTGCTTCAGGGCCACATCATCACGGTCAAAGTAATAGGACTAAGGAAGAGTATAAAATATTAACAGACATCAGTCATGGGATAAGGATAAAACACTTTACAGAAAAACAGTTCCTTCCAATGTGCAATAGAGAACCTCAGTGTAAGGAAACTCAAGCATCTCTCACCAATTGAAGGTGGAGTACATACATAAAGGCCTCCCCACTTACCCTAGAAGCATTACTATTATACTTCTGATACTGCTGACATAGGGACCTCAGGTTGAGTGTTTGTAGCTCTTCCTTTGTCTTTAATAGATGTGTTGCATAGGCAATGGTCAGTCCTGGCAGGCTTATACCCACAGCAGTTAATGCTAAGAAGTACCTAACAGGTCTCAGAAGTGGCCATAGGGAAAAGAGTACAAGTGACTATTTTTTAAACACAGTTTTGCTATTCTATTTCAATGAAAAATTATTAAACATAGTTCACTTACAAACAATTAAGTTAATATATCTATAAAGGGCATTTCTGTCTGCTTTCTAACAGCTCTAGCCTCTGAAAAAAAGAGGAAACACTCACCAGGGACAGATAGACATAGCTGGCATACAGCTCCAGGTTCACCAGGCGATTCACAGCAGCCTCACACTCAGCATGGAAGTTTTGGCACACCTGGGACTCCATTCCTCTGCTTGCAAGGTTGTTGCAGTAAAGTACAATCAATAAGCTAAAGCTTAAAACAACTTCTCTTCAAGCACTACTACACAAAACTCACAACTCCTCACCCACACAAAACCTGGTCCCCTACAGCTGCTATTAATAGTGTTCAAAGCCAGGTGTGGGTGTGAATGACAGCTGTGGCTACCCAATGGAAACACCCTTCCTTACCAAGGAACCAGGTGGGGCTGTGGGTGAGGCTGTTTCTCATTTTCCACAGGTGACATGACCTGGCCAATTAGCAGAATGACCCTGCAGCCTAGGCCCTGCAGCCAGGGGAGACAAATGAGGAAAGTTCAACAGACAAATCCAGTTTCCCAATAGCTCTGTAAGGAAGGGAAGGAGGAGTAGTTGGGTGTTTGGAGGACAGACACTATGATGATGGCGGCCAGATAAGTACCTAGATACTTAACTTAGGGATATACCATAGATTAGACAAAATGCTCCGTGAAGTGAACATCTTTCCTATGACATTTCCAAAGGGAGGCACGAGCCCTTCTGCTATCTGAAATGTTACCTAACACAGCTGGTGTTATATGGAGACCATGGAAAGGACCTTGAGGTTTATCATAAGATAGGCATAGGAGGAAAAGTCAAGATCAGGAACGTCACAGCAGCAGGGACTGTGCTTTTCTTTATGTTTGTACAGAACCTAGCACATTGAGGGTATTACCAGAAATGAATAAACAACAACAAAAACTATAACATGGACAATGGGGAAAACGTGGAGCTCCAGAGACCCAAGGAGAGAGTGAGGGGCCAGGTGGGAGCAACAGCCATGTGGCACATAGCAGCAGGGGCATATGAAAGTTGGCAGCGATGGTCACAGAAACAGAAAGCCAAAGGTAAAGCTGAACACAATTCATAAAATTGCACTTAAAGGTGTCAGTGACAATAAAGGGTTTTTAGTGGCCAACTGCAGCATTTTGTTCCATTATTATATTTCCAGTTGATGGGGCTAGCACAGGGGTGGGCAAACTACGGTCCGTGGGCCGGATCTGGCCCACAGGATTGCCACCCCCGTGGCACTGTAGGGCTAAGGCAGGCTCCCTGCCTGCCCTGGCCCCGTGCCACCACGTCCCTGGGGGGTGGGGCAGAGGGCTCCATGCACTGCCCCCACCTGCAGGCACTGCCCCCCGCAGCTCCCATTGGCCGGGAATGGGGAACCACAGCCAATGGGAGCTTTGGGGGAGGTACCTGCAGCAAGGGCAGTGCACAGAGCCCTCTACCCTCCTCCTTCCCCCAGGGGCCACAGGGACGTGGTGCCGGCCACTTCTGGGAATGGCACGGGGCCAGGGCAGGCAGGGAGACTGCCTTAGCGCTGCTGCCACCCCAGAGCCACTCAAGGTAAGCGGTGCCAGGCCAGAGCCCACAACCCGAGCCCCTCCTGCACCCCAATCCCCTGCTGAGCCCCCCGTTGCACCCCCCACCCCCTCCCCCCCCCCGAGCCCCCGCATACACTCCACACACCCCTCCTGTGCCCCAACCCCTTGCCCCCACCCTACATTCATGGCCTTGTATGCAACTTCCCCACCCCAGATGTGGCCCTCGGGCCAAAAAGTTTGCCCACCCCTGGGCTAGCAGCATAAATATGTAAGCAAGTGTTTTGAAGAAATAGGCAAACCTGGGCTGTAGGACTCCTGTGACCCACCTGCAATGATTTGATATCCAACATTTTTCTTCAATAAAAGATTACAGTATTTCCAACCTTCTTTTGCTGCCTTTTATTCCAAATGGTTTCTGGCTGCATATTCACTACATAATACAGCCCCTTCCCCCCCCGCAACACACACCCCTTATGCCAGCATCTGTCTGCTGGCAATATATCAGGCCTGTCTGCAACTGACTAAATTTAAAGAGAGCCAGTGGCAGGAGCTACAGTCTCTCTCAGTTGTCTAACTGATTTTGATTCTCTGCCTTTCACTTCTAATAAATGGATTTTCATAAGCAGGGGAAGAATCTGATCCTGGTCCTGCTCACCCCCACATCAGAGGAGACCCCTTTGCATTCTTATGCCCAGTAGAAGTGGGAAAATCAAACCATGAATTTTCTGAGTAACTTGTAATATCAAATAGTCTCTCTGTTGACGTTTAACCAGCTTGAAAAAAGCTGCTTATTACAGACAATGTCTATTTACAGAGCTAACTTGAGCAGGCTCGCAGTCACAGTGTTGTACAAAGACAGCCTAATACACTGCAGATGCAGAACTCCAGGCTGCTCTGTGGCAGCTGTAGTTCAGGTGCTGGAACAAAGATTTCCAGGCAGCCCAAGGGCTCAACTGGTCTCTCCTGTTAAGGGCAATAATAGAAACAGAACAAAACTGGCAACAGCTTGTCCTGCCAGTCTTCTGTTTATCACCTATCTCAAGCCAACATCTGGTTAGAGCCCAACCTTGAGCACCTAAGTATTAAGCCTCCCTAACTAGCCAAGGTGGCACTAAACTCTTGTGAGCCAGCCTAAGAGGGGGGAAAGAATGGTTTCTTATTAGTAAGTGGAGAAAAGTGTTGAATTCTGTTCCATACTGAAGAGGAGGGGAGCCCATGGCATTTGGTTTACAGCTATGGTGTCCAGCATGAGCCAACTACAAGCAAAGCTCTCCTCTCAGACCTACAAATAGCAATGAAAGCTAAGCAGCCAGTGGGCTGTCTCCTCACACACTCTCCTTTGCCCAGCAATATGGTGCCTGGTTCTAGATTGTGGGGGGGGAAGAGGGAACATCTGAAAATATTGATCCTTGCGGTGTACTTGAGCTCCTCCAGCAGGAAGCTCTCTAACTGCAGTTTTCATAAAGCTAGCACCAGAGCCCTGCACATGTACAGAATCCAGCTATGCTTTAGACTAAGGAAGGGTTGTTTTGTTTAAAAAAAAAACCCACAAAACAATTACAAGAGGTCTTCTGACATGGCTCTATGCCAGACAGTACATGGACAGCACTAGCTGAATGCTTTCTAGCTGCTTGCAGGGGCAGGTTATGTTACATGACATTCTGCCTAAGCAGAATCCTAGAACAATTCCCCCCCCCCCCCCACTCAGTACCTGCAGCAATGCTTGTGAGTGTACCTCACTGATGTAGGGATACTAACTGGATAATCAACAGTATAACAGCCTTGGGTGGCAGGCATAGATCCAGCTTAGCTAAGTGACTTTAAGAAGATGCAGAAACTACTGCACCTGCAAATAAGCTGTATCTGTTTAGCCTACCGCTCACGGGTTAAGACAGCAAAGGATGGGAATGACTATCCAGCTGTGATGAAGTGTTCCCTTCCAGATGTATACTCTAGTGGGCACAACCAAGAAGCGTGTTATTTTATCTACAGTAATTGCTAGGGCACTCACTGGATGTGCAGCCCCTGTTCATGTGTGTAGTGTAATTAGTGACATACTCATTGAAGCCAATTTAACACCACACTAAGAAAGGGCAGAGTCAGGTTACAACTGAAAGCCATGTTTTATTCACATTATTTAGCTCAATTCTGGTTTCCTCTACATACAGATGAGCCACCAAATAAGCAATATCCCTAGAGTCCAGTTCAACTGCTCTCCTCCAGGGTGAGCTTGTCAAACAGGTACTCTCCCATGCCATTCTGGGGCACTCCCAGGCGCTTCAGGTTGGTGAGGTGGTCTCCCAGCTGCTTAATGGTCTTCACCTGCTCCTCCAGGTAGTCAGACTCCAGGAAGTCACACAGCTGCAAGAGAAAAGCAGAGGGTTAGGAGGACTATGATGGTTACAGATTTTTGTAGCTCAGTAGTTTGTCACACTTCACAGCTGCAGGTGTCTCATGGCATACTCCCAAGGTGGGACCTCCATTTTCAGTGATGAGGATACTGCTTCTTGTACAGTGTTTGTCCAGAGCAATAGCACCACTGACCTTAAGCCTGGATGAGGTGTCCAGTAAGGAATCGTAGGAGGTGGTAGCAAGGAACATGCAGAGAGTCCTTGTATTAACCTCATGCAAGTCAAAACAAAATCCCAATCCCATCTAAGATTAGAGCTCAAGGAAGAGCAGGCCATATACAGTCACTTTAATCCGAGCCCTAATTGTAGGGAGAGGCAAAACATAAGCAGAGGTGAAGGGCAAAGAACTGTGTGAGAGGTGGTCCAGGAAAGTTTCTCTCCAGTTCTTGATTTCTAGCATGTTTCCTCTTCACCCCACCTACCACACCCTGTAGTTTCTCCTCAAATGAATCACAATGTTCAAATGCTGAACCTCTCCTACTCGTCTGTAGGAAAGGAAGTGGCGATTGCCATTTTCCCCTTCCCTAGCCAGTCACTCACATGGGGGTCGTTCTTCTCAGTAGCCAGCTTGTGCAGGTCCAGCAGGGCCTGGTTCACCCTCTTCTCCAGCTGCAGGGCGCATTGCAGGGCCTCCAGGCTGTTCCCCCACTCATCCCGCTCCGGCCTCTGTAGGAGACCAGTAATAGAATGGAAACACTTGCACTATTAGAAATGGATCCCAGCTTCCTTCATCTAGGAGAATTACCCTATTTGCTTAGCTCGTTGCTATACTGCCTCTTTTGTGGTTCTGCAATTTTATTCTCATGCTTTTGCTTAGAAAAGCAGTATTTTTTTTCTGACCCACACACACTTTAGAATTAACAAAAGGGCACTAGCTGTGCTGTCTTCTCACACAAAGGACACTTCAGCCATTTGGAAGAAAGAAAAAACCAACCACAATAGTGTCCATTTGAAAACAGAGCCCAATACATGCTAGGTAAGAAGCAGGAAATAAAAAAAAGTTTCTTATTCTTCAAATGAGCACCAGGACAATGGGCTGATCAGGTAGTAGATTATGGCTCTTTTACAAAGGAGAAATTGATGCCACTACCAGCCTGTGCAGGTTCACACAGCAAGAAATGCTGAGCTACTGTCCTAGAATCTTCATTCTACTCTCCTGTTTGGGTGGTTACTGACCGTCTCTCACCTTGATGTCCTGCAGGACAATGCGTCCCCCTCGTTTGTTCTGGTATTTCAGGAACTTCTCTGCATGTTCCTGCTCCTCATGGGACTGCTCCTTCAGGAACTGGGCCATGTGCTTCAGGGCCACGTCATCACGGTCAAAGTAGTAGGACTGGGGAGGAAGACAGGAAATGAATGACATTTGACAGTAATAAAGCATCATACCACAGGAAGTTTCTCACTGTGAACAGACTATTCATGTGGCTTTCATTGTTCTAGGCAGCAGCTCTTCAGCTGTAGGGATAGATCCTTCCCCATACCTTCACTGTGCTTACCTACTACAGGAAGAAGCAAGCTATACACCTTCAGATGAAGCCAGACACAGAGAGAAGGGCTTCTGAAAGTCCTTCCCATGCTCCAGAACATACAGAGAGCCTAAATCCTTTTACTTCAGCCACATAGCCCACTGCCTCACATTCCTGCAGGACATTTTCAAGGCAAAACACAAGTAGTGTTTCAGGGCTATACAGATGCAGTTTTGATTACTGGGTTTACAAGTAAGAAAGCAACTTAGAAAAAGACTGGAAGAGCATATCCCTTTTCCTGCCAGATCCCAGCTGTATAAAGTTTGCCAGCCAACTAGTGCTAGGTTGTAACTACTCACAGACCCTTTGCTTCCCACAGAAAGCTGTAAATTAAAGCAATGCCATTAGACAAAAGAATCTAGTTGCTAGTTTTGTCCCATACACTTAACAGGGCTGGGAGTTGTTTGTGCTGTTGTGAGGGGGCAGGAGAGATCCCTCTACATATGGAATCATTTTCTGACCAACTTTGCAAGTTACAAACACGAGGAGAACCATTACTTAACTATGGCTTAGGAGCAAGCAGTTGTCCAGCATGAAGATATTTCACTAGCCACTGAGTTAATAAAGAGAAAGGATTCGTGGTTCAAGAAACAAAGATGAACAGAATGACCCTTCTAGATCTTGAAGAAAATGAAGAATCACAGTCTCCAAGGTTACTAGTTTAATAGCTGATCTATAGACCTCTATAAGGGAAATTTTTAATCTTGGCCTAAAGTTTCTTCAGGAACAGCTACTTGGAAAAGGTACTCAAGGGATTCAACCCAGATAATAAGAAAAACTCAAACTTATTTTAGTATAAGGACATGAATCCCCCTAATACAAAAAAATCACACCCAGTCCTGGATACACAAAAACACTAGATAAGAGAGAAACACTCACCAGGGACAGATAGACATAGCTAGCATACAACTCCAGGTTCACCATGAGGTTCACAGCAGCCTCACACTCAGCATGGAAGTTCTGGCGCACTTGAGACTCCATTCCTCTCTTTGTGAGGTTTAGCAGTAAACTAACTCTAGAATCAAGACCTGGACAACCACTCCCAAGACAAGACCACCACCTAGGCCTTCACAGTTGCTATTAATTCCCTTCTGAGTCACACCTGGGTGTGATTGGCAGCTGTTGCTGCCCAATGGAAATCTCATTCGCATCAAGGAACCAATGAGCATCCGGGGTGGGGCTGTTCCTCACTTCCCACAGATTAAGGGGTGATTCAGTAATATGACTTGACCTGTTACCATGACCACCCCTTTGGTGTATGGCAGCCAGACACAGAGTGACAGGCTCAGCAAAGAAATCCAATAACACCCTGTGGGGAAGGAAAGGACAGAGGTGTTAGGGGGTGTCCGGAGGAATGTTTATATAGGTGCTGAGTCACTATGATAATAGAGGCTATATAAATGCCCATACAGAATAGATACACATGAGATTAGATATATGTTCCTTGGACTGTACATGGCTTCCCATT